CTCCTCTCAACCCACTCCTCTCCCACCCCCAACCCACTCCTCTCCCACCCCCAACCCACTCCTCTCCCAAGAGCAAGGGGGGACAAGGGCTCTCAGTTTCCAAGTACACAGATTTGTTCGGCAGTACTAAGGTTACCAGCCAAGATCCCAGCTTGTCACTGGTTCTCAACAACTTTGTACCAAGACTAGAACATTGGCCAAGCATACTCTGTTTTTGAGTCAGATGCTGGAGGATTGGTGTCTGAATATGGGATTAAAAGACACTGCAGAAGTTTAGTCAGCATGGAATACTTGTAGAAATTCCACAAATTTTATGCTATAACAGTGATGAACGCGGGTAAGATTTATTAAATTTTGGGTGTTTCTACGTTACTTTGCAGAACCAGCCTCCAGTACGGCATCATGTGCCTCAAAAAAGTCAACTACGACCGGAATGAGCTCAAGCGGCGGAGAGATCAAAGTGCTAACGAAATCAAAGGTGGGAAATCCCAGAATGTCAGCATGGAAGTGATCCAGTAAATCTTGTGTGGACTGCTTTTCTGTCAGGCCTGTGCAGGCTTGAACTTGGTGTCACTTTGCAAAACATATGACAAGTTTCATGGTTTAATTTCTAAAACTGTTGTCTGGCTTTGTAACATTCTATAGAATGTTGATATCAATGGTATCATATTTACAGCATTAAATGTGCTGTCTTAACTAAGCACATATTTGTTGGGATCAAGACACTGCATTGCGATTACATCTCACTGGATCCACAATCATTCGTAAGGTCATCTCAGCTCCCTTGGGAGTGTACAGCTAATCAAAGGCGATAACCATCTTTGCACTCACAAGTAGCCATTTCTTCCTGTTTGGGAAGAAGCAGTTTTATAAAGAGTGTCTTAAGTTGTGCTTATTGGTAAGATTTTAAACCCACACACCTGTGGAAGCCAACAGGTGGCTGCTTTGGCCAGTTACAAAAGACACAAATGTTACTGTCTGCCACTGCCCTACAACTTTGCATTCAAAACACCAGACCATGAAGCCGTGTCACTTCACATGCATCTTTCATTCTGCTCTGTCCTTCGACAGATGTACTAGTATGGAGCAACGACCGCGTCATCAAGTGGATCGTCTCCATCGGTCTCAGGGAGTATGCCAACAACCTGATCGAGAGCGGGGTGCACGGGGCCCTGATTGCGCTGGATGAGGCGTTCGACCACCAAGCACTTGCCCTGGCCCTGCAGATCCCGACGCAGAACACTCAAGCGCGACAGCTACTGGAGAGGGAGTACAACAACTTACTGGCGTTGGGGACCGAAAGAAGAATGGAAGAGGTGTGTTTAGTTTGCTTTTCCCTCCACCTCTATATTCTTGCAGGAACCTCATGTCAGGAGTCGCTGGCTTGTTGATGTGCTCGTTTGATACTTCTTAAAGTAAGGGCCTACAGTATTATAGTACATGGTGTATTGTCCTTTCTCCTGAGCTACAAGGGGACACAGGTAATTACTGATGGCTGCCGTGTCTTGATCAATTTACGTGCCATACAGAGGTCTTCCCTCGTAAAAGTCTATCAATTGAGGATTTTCAGTCTCGTGATTTTTGACAGTTGGCATTCAGTTACATGGATGTGCGCGGAAAGGTGCGGGCTTTCAAAGTCTCTCAACATTCTGACGTACATGAAATCCCCAGTAGAAATACACAGATTCCTAATGCACGCACCTCCAAGGACTTGACATGCTTCCTGAAATGCCTTTGCCTGCCATGTTACGTCGCTTGAAAAACGTCTATTGGTTGCATTTCATGATGAATATCATTTGAATGTTAAAGAGTAACAAAACTCTTGCTGGAAACTTAAGCAGAGATTCTTAGTATTGTCCGAGAGTTTTTGTAGTATGGTGGAATTATCATGCCTAGCAGTTGGCTAAAAGAATTCTCTTGAGACAGCTACGCTGAACATATACCTTAGACCTTCTGGAAAGTAGACTGATCCATGCTTTAGTTGGCCAGTCGTGAAGTTCTGCACAGAAATCTGTCAATACTTGTCTTTTAATTATAATAATTTAATGATTTATTGATTTATGAAGTGCTAATTTCATATTGTTATGTTCAAGTGCGCTGTTTAATGATGATATGTTAAATGTAGAATTGAACCCGGGCCATAGAGGTGAAAGGCCAGGAAAGAACTACCTTGCCAACCTGACTCCCCTTGGGTCTTGTGTTTTTGGTCACAGGACGTGGGAAGCAAGTTCAAGAGGGGTCCATCCTGGCGAAGGATGTTAAAGCTCAAAGACGGCACCTCGCCCAAGGGTAAGGAAGGGGCAGCCCCCGGGGCGACATCTCAGGATGCCACGGCCCCGGGGTCGCCAATTCAGAGGTCAAATGCAGCTCCTAAGCCTCAGGGGTCCACGACGGCCGAGGGGGACCGGCCCGCTGTGCAGACATACTCCTGCTGACAGGAGTAGAGACATCACAACTCACATATAAACCTCAGGTATGTTGGGGATGTGACAGGAAATATGGACATAGCACTAACTGGGTGTCCCTAGGACCTGGAATCACGTTTTTGTCTGTAGTTCCGTTTTAATCCTCCGTCCACTACCGGTACATCCAGTCATTTCAGTCTTGTGTGCAAAATAATACCCAGGTTGCTGCATAAACACTGCTGCAGTGGTAGGCAACAACACTCACAGCTGAACTGGTGGACCAGTGACCCCTCACTTTGTCAACACTTTTCTTCTACTCTTGGGAGGTCCTAGTATATAGGAAACGGTGGGGCAGTGCCTAATGGATTGGTCTGACATCTGATGGTGTCAAAACTGCTGCCCACACATTAAAAAAATTGTTCTGCCACTGTAGAACATTATCCATGGAAAACCATGTCCTTCCTCTGTATGAGAAAATGAACACCTTCCCAATCACTCAATCAGAATTCTTTCTGATCAGTGCATCAGCATCCTGGAATGAGTGAGCACATCTCTTTTATTCACAAAACGACACCAGTTTTAGGTACCATAATTCAAATTCTGTCTTTCGTACTCTCTTCCCCGCTGCACTGTTTGTTTCAGGTGGCAGTTAGCATATGTAAACACTATTTGGGACCAACAGGGTGGTATATGCGCCACTGAAGACCAACCCTTCCCACATTCCAGTGTGATAAAAAAAAATCTTCACTGCCAGAGGGACTGGTAGGAACCGGTCATAGGCAGCCTTCACTCGTGCTGGCCAAGGCATGCCAGGAGGGATAAAGATGTCTGGAAGCATACCGGCACAGAACTGGTACGGACTGGTTCCAGCCAGCTGGAACTCGCAGTCAGGCCAATGATGCGTGGATCAGGTCGACAGAAAAGTGCTGTTGGTCCAGGAGGATGAGTTGGAGTTGCTTGCTCATGAAAATCGGCAGGTGCTTTGAAGTTGCCCCTTCTTGGAGTGCGCCCACATCCGTTTACAGTGATTTCAACCAATTCAAGAGCAGTTGCTGTCTTACCATCATTATTTACAGCCCAAAGAGCGAGGTTTTTCATGTCTTGTAACAATGCTGTTTTGGTTCAGACAGGCAGTAACCAGTAAAAGATGACGTTAACAGGCTGATAAATTTTACGCATCACCCTGAAAATTTTAAAAAAAAAATGGTCAGAGAAGCAGAGTCCAAAACAAAATCTGCAGCTGAATAACCCACACCAGAGCCGGTCGAGATTGGATCACGCCAATTTTAGAACCACCCTGCCATAACACTGTCAGTTATATTCCAAAGGATACTTTTCGCAAACCAGTTTAGAAAATTTCGCATCTCAGATCCAGACAAAACTGGTTTCACAGCCAAGTGATGGAAGCAGTCAGCTGACTACCCCTCCACTGGTTCCAATCGGTTCTGGCCAGTACACTCCAGCCAAGATCCTCCAGTGTGATGACACACAAAAAAGGCTTAGTGGCTTCTTGGTTCTCCTTAGGTGACACTTGCTTTTCATACATCACCTCAACAAATACAGGAATTTGTGGAACCGGTTGAAACTGGTCCAATCTGGATTTGACCATCTCGAAGCCTTTGCTGCAGCGAAACCGTTGCAGGAGGTATTGCCTAGAGAATCTGCTGAAGGAACGAGCATTGTGTCCCAGTATCTTGCAGGAAACACCCGACTGGTAGTTCAAGCCCAAAGGAATTACTTATCGACCAGCTCAAACCAGTTGACAAAGACCAAAAAGCCTGATTTGGCACCCAGCTTCGAATTTCTCTTGAACTCTCTGTTTTCTCATTCCAGCATTTCCCTCGATATATAGAATTGTATCGAAGACTGACCAGTCCAGTTCAGGCTCAACTGGTTCAAAGCAGTTCAGACTGGTCACTATCTAGTTGTTGGTTATTAAATCCTTTCAGGCTGGATTTGTATCTTTAAGATATTAACTAGATTTTTAGTATTTATTGCAAGTATTGTTTCTTAGTAATGGCATTTATTTCCACGGTGATCCCACCAGAAGATTTCTCACTCATATCTATTTATTTATATCAGCTAGAAATATCTTCAAAGAGATTAGGAAATAGGCTAGATTTTTCCTTTTAATTCCAGTCTCGAATAATATTTTGAGAGTCAGTTTAATACTCCAAAACAATTTTCAGATTGTATTTTGAAATCAAAATTAAAGTCTGACACCTGACACTTGTTGCACTTAAAATGTTCTTGTATAGAGATCATCTGGTTTAGATGGAAACACTTTCTTTTCCCACTGGGATAGGCCTTGGTACACAAGCTATTTCTCAACAGAATTCCTTGACTGTGTCTGTGCACTCTGACAAGGAAGCATGGGAAATCCCGGCGAAGGAAGTTTCCCATAAGGAAGGTCTTGGCTGTGCCTGTGTATTCTTAAAGCACTGAAAACCTTGGGAAAGAGGTTTTCCCACGTGAAGTCAGAAGTCCCTGGTTGTGCCTGTGCAATATGACAAGGAGGCAAGGAAAAGAGGTTTTCCTTTGAGGAAGTTTTTGGCTGTGCCTGTGCATTTTGACAAGGAAAGCCCGGGAACATCAGGCATTCCTACAAGGAAGTCCCTGGCTGTACTTGTGCATTTCATCCTTCAGAAGGGAAACTATGGGCGGTGACTTTCCACATGAACTCTGGAACAGCTGTTCCCACTGAGATCACACTGACAACAAGGCTCAATGTCACCGACTGTGGGCTTTGCACGGTTCCAAAACAATGGTTCCAAAAAGAACAGGAACTTGCTTAATCACCGCAGCGTCCATTGCTGTATAAATGGGACATTACAGTGGACTATTACTTGGAAACCTATTTAATCACTTGAGAAGCTGCTTTAATCAAGGTTCTGAAGGTTCTGCAAACATGGCCTACTTGATTCAAGAATTAGAACAAATAATAGTAATGTACTTTGAAAAGACATCTCTACTTTGGAAATGGATTTCCCAATTTCTTTTATTTATTCAGTTAAATGAAGAAGTAAGATACACTTGATAAAGATTGCTTTTTGTAAATTATAAAACTGTTTCTAAATCTCATTGTAAAAGAGAAGACAAACAAAAATCTTTTTTTTACGATGAAAACAAAAATTTCTTCCTTTCTTGTAAAAATGTATAGAATATGAATCGCTGATCTGTTCTGTCATGAAATGGTTCTTGCAGTCGGAAAAATCAATTTCAAAGTAGACAGTTTCTTTATTTTTAAATTCTGAATATTTTTTTAATTCAAAACTTGTTTGAAGCACACTTAGGTTCCAAATAATGTGGAACCTTGAAATTAATTTGTTCCCTGACATATTGGTTTTGGGTCAGAGACAAAGAGTTATGACATGATGGCATCGGTGGATGATGCCATTTTGTTTCCAAAATGGTAGGCTTTTGTGTTTAGGATGCACTAACTTGTCAGAAAATGGCGGTAAATGTTGGGCACATACATGTAGGTACGCACACTTGTGACCCAGCCTACAACACTTGTCAGAAGTTGCTAGAGCCACTTTGGCATTAAAAGCCTTGAAAAGAATCTTGTACAATATTAATCACTGGAAAATCTCAACATTTTTCACTCGCCTAATCTCCATTGTCATCAGGATGACAGGTCGAGTGATACACCAAAAGAAAGAGCACACTTTGCTCTTTTTGATCCACACTACTGTAAAATTTCTGAGGAATGGGGAGCTTAAGATTCAGTTTGTGGGATCCAGTCACATATGGACTTTGGAACCAAAATGGAGTCTGATCTGAAGATGTTCCAGCTCTGCGGGTTTTTTTGGTCATGGCCTTAATTTGTTTAATGTGTTTCAAAATGTAATGGCTGCTGCTGTTACTTTTGTATTGCCTTGTACATTCACTATAAAACTAGTGTTTTTTGGTTTGTTTTTTTGGCTGGAATTTAAAGGAGAACTTATTACCCCATGTGCAAACAAGTTCTAACACTTCTGTGAAATTCTGTGCTTATTAATTTTTCATAGTTTTATGAAAAGCGAGGTTGTTCTTTAGTACAAGTGGACCGTGCACTACAATGCCAAAATAAAATCTCATAATGCGCTCAGTATTTCATGTCAAGTTCCAGCTGGAACCAAACAGAGAACCAGTTCACAGTTCCTTGGACTTTCAGGAACCATTTCATTTGGAACATTGTATCTACGTGCCGCTGTGCACAGTACTTCATAATCCGTATCTTCCGAATTGGATAGGACTTTGCCCTCTATGACATCAACATGATGAACGTTTGGAAGAAATATGTGAAGACATCTGTTGTTTCCATTTTGAACCAGAGATCATCGCTATGGATATGAGAAAGCACAAACATGTGTTGGCTATGCAGCAATAATACACTGTACAGAGTTACAAAGAAAAAACATAAATATCACTTATATAAATCATTGTTTAAAACTTAAGTTATGTATGCACTGTACATATGAATACATGTTCGTATATAGTCTGCGTCTTTTTTAAACAAAGATATTACTCAAATAAGATACCTGTTATTAAGGCATTCATGGCATCTCGAAAGATGAAACACCTGTTTGTTATAATAGACGATGGTATACATTGTGGGCTGTAATTTTTGTTTTCCTTCTTTTGACAAGGCTATATGACTTGTAAAGAGTACTAGTACTAAGACTGTTAGATTTATTAGATTAAACAAAACGATTCACTACCAAGCATGGGGATTGGTTGATTGTGTGAAGTCCACTTTACATTCGCCCGTGTGGGGAAGAAATAAAATAACAATTTGTAATTTTTTTTCTCTTTAAAAAATTGGGGGGGGGTCAATTGAAATTTTCTAGAGACATTTTTTCAACTTCAATTACAATTTCCACATATCTAGCCTTGGAAAAAATGTTGGAGAATAAAGTTTCACAGTCCAAGTGTCTATCCAATTCTTCACCGTATCACTGCATTACATTTTGGCTGGTAACCCAGACAAAAACTCCTCATTAACTCGGAAGTTCAGTTTGCTTTAAAAGGGGGATATCCACTTTCGGTGTCAGCAACTTAAAACTTTGTGTACATACATGCAGTATTGCCAAGTAATGAAACCACAAAATGCCTACAAGGTAGTGCATATTTTTGGATGAGCCAATACTCAAGTTAACCCTAACCCCCTAGGGTGTGTGCAAAATCATATTAAAATTGGAGGATTCAGGACTGTTAGGGTTAATCTAAGTCTGCTGATTTGGGGACCAGGGCATGATTTCAAATTTTGAAATGAAATTTCATTTTATTGCTTCATTTGCACTCTCAACATTAAAAAAATGAAGAGTTAACCTCGCTTTCAAACTCAATTTGGCCATCCCCATGAATAAAGTCTATTCTGGATCCATTGCTGGTTTACAGACACCAAAACCCTGCACAGTGGATGGTGGGAACCAGCATAGGGATCACCGATGGAGATCCAGATCAGTGTGAAACAAAGAGGCCACTGGACCCCTGTCTCGTGCTTACAGCAGAATCATAGAAATTTGTGCCAATAAGCCATTTGCAAGTTGAATTTGAATAAAATCTGGTGCACTGAGTTATCCGACTACACATAAACATAACGATTCTAATTCCCCAGACTAAAGACACTGTTGCTATACCTTCTGATTCGGGGCAAGCTTTCGCATAGCGACCACCATCTCTGGAATGGACTAGTTCCTTTCTGCCCTCTTTAACCATTGAGAACAGTGTATTGTTGCAAGGCATCTCTTATGTAACTAAGCAAACGCTTGCCCGAATCACGAGGTATAGCAACAGTGGTTTTAGTAAGGATAATTCAAGTTATGTTCACATGAATTTAAAGAACTCAGTGTACCAGATTTGGGTCAAAGTTAACTCATACAAGGCTTATTCTGTAAGCAGAGAATGTAGAGTTTACAGGATGCATCCTCGTGCACATAGAGCAAAATTCTTTGCTTGCATAAAACTCAACATTTTCTGCAGCCATGAAATTGGGCCATGTTTTGGAAAGGGGAATTTTTTTCTGAAGCAGTTCCTTGAATTTCTTTTTTGAAGGGGCCGTAATTTACCTTGGGGAACTTCACACTCAACCTCATTATACTTAAAACATATTGCACATTACACCTTTAATCATTGTTTTTGCAGGCAAAATTTCACATAAAGATCATTGGATTTGTTTTTCTCATGCTTGTTTCTGTTCTCTGGTTTAAATTCCCGCTTCGTATTAAACCATACTGGTCTTAATGTGTATAAAACAAAATTATCAGTATTGCAAGACCTATAATGTAAAATGAATAATCATTTGTCAGTTTCTGTTTCTGTATAGTTATGTTACAAAGAAATAACACAAGTACTTTGTAGAACAATATTTTTCGTGTCAAGTTTTATAGTACTGAACTGAGTTTGTGAATTTGTACCGTCCTACTGAGTTGACTTTTAACTGATAGTTTGGCTAATTCTGTGTTACATGTGGCTCACATGTATTAATTACTTTGTCATAAACTCAAAACATTTTTTTTTTATTTTTCCCTTCAGTAAATGTAGGAATTGAATGGATGTGGTTACTCTGGTTAGCAAAGTTTGGTACATTTCCAAATGGTGTATCATTTAAATGATCAAATACTAACAAAAGATCTAGTTCCTAACCAGTTCTATATGGAGCTGGTGGAGCTGAGCTGGTTCTTCAACTTTTTTATACAAGCCTTTATCTGCCTTGAGCAGAAGCACCCCCTCATTGGCTGAAAAGAGCTATGTTGATTGGGAGTGTTCATTTTGCTGGTAGCCACGCGGCTGTATTTCATAGTCGTGTGTGAACCAGCAAAGTGCAGTTTCGACCAAAGGAGCCTCCGTTGCCAGGGAAATTGCGCCCTCTCCTGGTCCAGCTTGGGGCTTATTGCATTGAAACAAACAATCCATATGCCCCTTCAAACCCATTGGCCATTTTTTTCTTAAATAGCACAATTAAAAGTAAAATACACTGATCACAAAAATAAATAATCACATTCTGGAAATAATTCAACACAAATGGTAAGCTGTTGAGAGGAACAACATGAATTTCCCTGGTATCACAACTGATTGTTTGAAAATAATTTGGGACAGGTGTGTTGCCATTTTTAAGTTATATTTCAATTAAAATCATATAATCTTGTTGGTGTGTGAATGATTGTTTTTTTTTTCTATTTCTGCTGTGTGTGGAATGGACCCATCAGGGACAAAAATCGGTTTTATTTAATCTGTCACTGTATGAGCATTTAAGGATTTTGTTACTTATTTTTGTTGGCCCCTTCTTCAAATTTGAAATAAAAAGTTAACTCATGGTAACCTCCGTTTAAGGATTAGTACCACAGGTAACTGCTTGTAGATAAAATTGTTGGGATTTGAAGGATTTTGCATGTTGGTGAGTAACGGTGACCAAAATGTTGATCAAAATTTATAAAAGAAAGGTTTTGACCAAATTGCAGATGAAAATTCAATTTGTCACTTGCTTTGCTTCACCAGATCTTCTCGCCATGGACATCTGTAATTTGTGCAGTCAAAGCGGAACGATGTGAAAAGTTGCCTTATTAGCGAAAGTAGGCAATTGTGGGAAGCACGCTTTCTATAGTCGATCAAGAGCCTTTCTGTCAGATGTTCCAAGTCATGCTGATTATCTTTGAGTTGCAAACCTTGTATTGTGTGATGAAATTTGGTTTTTTACTTTTTTCACTGTAAACAGATCAACGGCTTTGGAGATTTGATGTAATTTTTATTATTATAGTCCCCAAACTCAGTTGAACAGGCTAATGTATTTTTCAACCCTAACCCCGTAGGGTTTGCGTTAAAAAAAGAGATATTTGGATTTAGCCCAGTTGGAGGTAATCCATTGAGTCAGCAGTAAACAACGGGCATCATACCGATCAACCTGTGTACTGGTGATGCACTTTTCTATGGAGACTGTTGGGACCCATTGTCCACGGAGTACCATAGGAAAGCACACACGTGAACAAGGTGTAGCATCATCAGTGCTGTACAAAGTTTTATTTGAATGTGCACTCTGGCATTTGGAAAGCTTGTGGCATTTGGAAAGCTTGTGGCAGTTGGAAAGCTTTTATTTTTTGACATTTTCAAAAATGATACAAGTTTTTCTGACTGCATCAAAGCAAGCCAAATACATGTTTGTACAGTTTGTCAACACCAAACAGAGTGCATTACTTAGTTTTTATCACACCAGAAAAACTGTTTTGTGTTAGCTGGACAGCAAGGGCTAAACGAGGAGGGCCAAGACAAAATTAGGGGAGATTCTTTAATCTGTAATTAAGCTGCTGGGCATGCTAGCCAGCAGGTCTTTGTATGAAAGAGGACAAACGAAATCATGATACAAAAAAACAAAAAAACAAAATGAACATATTTGTACAGCAATTTACTCCCTCTTCTGTCATGTAAACCAAATAAATGATGTAAGTTATTCTTTACTATGAAGATGACGTGTGTGATACAATTTCTGAGTGGATTGTTTACGTGGTGTTTAAGTACCCCCATACTAATTGGTACAAGGCTTGTTGCCGCTTGTATGGGGAGTACATTGTAGGCCTTTTGCTGGTTGGGTATGGGTGTTCAGAGTTGGTATACGCGTAAATGTATGAAAGTTATTATCCGTTGATTTGGTCAAAAAGTTTTTCACCTCAAAAGTCACACGTGCCCCATTTGTGTACAGTTGGAGGTAAGTGCATGTGTTTTCAATTATAAGCATTTGTCTTTGATATCAATTTTGGTGTTTTGATATGAATTATTCTTTACCTTTAGTACTGAAAGCCAGCCACAGATTTTCAGCCAACAGGCACATGTGCTAACTGCAACTGTGGCACAGCACGAGAAAGGGGTATGGGAAGTTAGGTATATGGGAAGTTTGTGAGAGTATTTGTGAGAGTATCTCTCTGGCTTTGTGGGCAAAGCAAAAAACATCACCATACACCTCTATCACGAGGCAGCCGTCTTGCTTTTCTACCATTCTAAGAAATGAATTCCTTCCCCTTTTCAATAAGTGAAGCTGTATTACTATAATAATCAATGGATTTACAACGGTACAAGGAATGAGACAAACACGGCAGCATAATGATGAAGGTCTACCCTACCAAAAGTACCAGTAGCCTACTCTGGTACTCACCAACCCCCCTTCCTGGTTGGAGCAGCATGCTTAGCTATTCTGGACAATAACTGGTCCTTGAAGGGTTTCATCACAAACAAACTTTGGTAATATTCCGCCCTTGCTGGAGCTCCCTGTGTAAATGCATCTTGTCTGTGGGGCAGGAAACTACACAAAATGCTGTCAAATTAGTGATGGAAATTTCTCACTTACCGTGCGTTGACTGCCTACACCCCAGTGTCCGTCTCCAGGGCACACTCAAATGTACAGGCCGAGAAAATGCCAAAGCAGAAGTTACCTGAAAATGAAATTCGCCCACTTGAGATGTGAGAATTCCCGTGCCGCTGAATTTTTGTTGTCGAAAACTCCTGATGCCGTGTGCTACTGAGCTGCGCAGTATAGATCACGTGCACTAGATAGTTTGTGACGTAGCGTTGTTAAGTGAAAATTGGGCATTTTTTGCAGACGGCGTGTCGAATTTTTCGTAAACGGAGCGCGCGTGCGCGTTTCTTTGGGGCGGTGTGAAACGTGGTAGATACAATAATGGCAGCATTGCAAGATTTGTTCAGCTTTTTAACAGTTATAAAATTGGAAACTATCTTTTCCAGTAGCCGTAGCGTACGTAAATTATGCGAGCACGATCTTTGTTCATAGCTCTTGGCCAGTAGATAGCGTAATATCCAGGACAACCATTAGCCGTATGTGCCGTCAAACGAAATTGCGAAGTTTGTAAGGTAAGTGCAGTTTCGGTGTTTTCCTTTCGTTGCTATCAACAAAAACCGTTTGTTCAAGCCAGGGCCTATGCTTTTTAATGTTTCTTTTTAGACCCAGGTATAACTGGGTATTTTCTCGGTTAAAATGTTTTAAGCTTATTCTTACACGGTCATGATAATGGAGAATGGGCCCACTTTTAGCTCTTCGAATGTTTGAGTCATTGTTTTCTTTCAATTTGACATTCAGTAATCATAGATCGGATAGGCTTCTCAGTCGAACGGCGGGCAAATCGTCAGGAGCAGTTTAAAACCCAAATTAAAAGTCGGTCAGGTCAAGTTCACTGGAGGAAAGATGTCTACGTCTGAAACTACTGAACGGAAAGGCAAGTACTTCAAGGCCGTCGTCAACACGCCCACTGCTGGTCTCACCAAACCCAAGGATGGGACCACACCTCGACCACTCCCAGTCCTTCAGCCCAGGAAATACCGCCCTGTAGACCGAGCACCAGGCCCACCCAAGACGGGCCCGGTACCCACGGGGGAAACTACGGCGTCTGTCCCTGGCGGTGATACCGATGAGGTACCGACTATCCTCGGCAAGTTGGAGGAGATGACGCCTGGTGCCAAATGTGGAGGGGCAGCACGTTGTGGGGATGACGTCAGGAACCTGACCAAACTCCTGTTCAATAGGTAACTTTGACGTTTGAGTAAAGCTGTCCCTCCCTGGTTGTAATATATGCTCGTTTCTAACATGACATGTCATAGCAGGGACACTGTTAATATGCCTCTGTATTTGCTCCCTTTTATTTCAATGTCTCATGGTCTTATTTCAATTTCACTCTTGTCATAAATCTTTCATTTATTGACCTTGTGTATAACTTGATACATACATTGCAAACGGAAATAAAACGGAGTAAAAAAAACAAGTAGTTTCACAACTAAGTTCCTAGCATCAGTCTGAGACATTATGTCAAGTTTCTGAACTTCAGAACAGAAGTGTAATAGCTTTGGATAAATTGCGGGGAAAAAAGCAAACAGGTGTACATCTTGGAAACTCATGCGTTGTACTGAACTTCCCAACGTATTTACAATATTTGAAAGTTTGACATGTACATGTATCTTTTCACAGGAACTTGTCTGGGTTGCTGAGTGGAAACAACAAACTTGAAGACATTGCTATTATTCAGACAATATTCAGTGCCAACAATGTACCTCAGCCAGAAGTCATGGATGTCGCAGATCCCGCCTTATCAGCTCATCAACGCACGCCTCCCCAAAAAGAAGTTTCTCTGTCTGTTTCATCGGCCAAGCCCAAACCAGTCTCTACCACTGTGTCAGACCACGCGCAGTTCGGCCACTCCACGGGTGCGCTGGTGGTGACGAATCGCACTTACAGCCCGCTGTCGGTGCAAGGCAAACAAAGGGTAGTCCTGATGCCAATGAAGTCGGACGGCGAAGACAAGCCTCCACCATCGAGTGAGAAGGATACAACGGGTCCGGCCGAGCGAAGAGTTGTCGGGCGCCAGAGGATGGTGGACATGTACCCGATGCGGTTGCCCAAGCTCTCCGTTCAGCAAAGAGAAACAGGAAACAGAAGTAGTTGCGAGATGGAAAGTGGAGCGCAAGATCAAGACACGGTTTGCTGTGGGACCACGAATTTAAAGAGATCCAGATGTAGGCAACAGATGTCCAAGTCAACAGGCTCAACAGAAGCAAGTGAGAATGTTTTTGAAATCCTTGTTTCAGACCATATGAAAAATGGGAAGTTTGGTAACCCCATAGAGCTGCATGTACATAAAGCTCTATGGGTATAAACCCAAATCTCATTCAAAGCCTAGAATCACAATTAAAATCAACATTCTAAAATTGTACCGGGCAAGTTCAGTCAAGTATCACTACTTAATTAGTGGTTGGTTTGTGAGGCACCCAGCGCATGTGCATAAAAGTTGAAGACTTGCGAACGACCCTAGTCCACCATTGACGGGTCTTAGGCTGAAGGGGAGAAAAGGTGGCCATAGGAAGGACAAAATAGCACAAATAGAAGTGAAAATGGTCATTTACTAGTGACAGACTGTTTCTCTGGCATTTTTTTTAATAACTGGTCCTCTCTGCACCGTACTAAATAGCGACCAATGATGCGACTGACCTCAATAGGCTGGTCGCGAATTGTTGACTAGATAGTCCAACCATTGTCAACTAGCGTGCGTCCGGTCAGAGTTACTCCAATTATGCTTAAATACGGTCGTTGGTAGAACTTGCTCACTGCTTTTGTGAATTTTCAAGTTCCAAATGTGAATAGGAGAGGATTTTGAGTGCCTGTTGAGTGTATCCTGTGCCATTTTGAACTTAAGTTTTGATGTTTACATTGACTCGTATCTCGTCCTTAAGATTTGAAATATCCCTTCCTGTCCTTGGGGCATTATTACATCTTTCTCAAACTTACACCCACCTTTGTCCCCAGCCACTCACTCTACGGGGAAGCCTGTCTTCTACCCGGGTTCACGCAACCTGACACTCGTTCGCCGACGAGGGCATCGCACAACCCCTAGAGCTGGCTCCCCGATGCCCTCGCTGCGGAAACCCCTCCCACCAATCCGGAGGCGGCACCACTCCGACATCTGCACCGTCTGCCCCGAGGTGCATGACTGGAAGGGGTTAGCCAGAAATCCCCGCTGGTACCCGACGGCCAAGACCGAAGGCGGCAGGCAGTGCCCGTGTGTGAGACAAACGGACTCGGTGACAAGACCCAGTGCCGAGGGCCAGGACGACTTCGTGAGGGACACTGAGCAAGAGGAAAAGGTTGAGGTTGAAGAAGACCATGAGGTTCAGTTTGGGGAGGACTTAGAGAAAGGCTGCGAGAAGCCCGTCAAACCGGCGGAGGAAGCAGAAGGAAAAAGTAACTGGTTTCCAGAGAGGAGCATTGCAGTGCAAGAGAGTGATGTATCAGTTGGGGATGAGGCAGAGAAGACAAAAGGTAATAACTTCAATATATAGAATCACATCCATGTGTCATTTTTGATGCTGAGATGCTGGGTGACTGTCAATTTCCAAATCTGCACACTGACACTAAGCATTCTGAAGGAATGCTTAAAAGCTCTGGCAAACGTGTCACCAAGGGTTCCTGGTAGAGTTTGTCAAATTTGTTCTTTTGCGTTTAACATTATTTCTTCTTAATTCAGATGAAAGTTCTGGCATTGAGAAGAGCCCAGAGTGTGATGCCATTGTACGCGCTCACAGCCAGTGGCTGACGGCCGGCACTTCGTTGCTTAGTGGCGAGAAAGACGACGAGTTGCATGAACCAAAAACAAGAATACCGGTACCTGATGACAGTCATCTCCAACGGAGACTGATGATGGAGGGATTGGACTTCGAGTGCGACAGCTCGACGGAAATCACGTTTGAGGATGATAACACACTCCTACAAGCTGTCCTTTTGCGCAACCACGCCCTGAATTATGGTGTAGTTTTCGAGTCAGGTGACCCGAACCCGTCGACAGAGTTCAAAGGTCAGTGTTCTGAGAAACCTGACAGTAGAAATCAGCCCGTAGGGAAAAGGAAGCCCAAACACTTCGATGACCGGAACAGGATTCTGAATACCTGCGCACATCTTCAAGGAAGACACGAGGCTGATGAGAGAACTAGTGAAGCAACTCATCAAGGTGAAAGATGGGGGTGTCAGATGTCTGTAATAACTCCCAAATCTGAGGTCATTATGACATCAAGAGGTCAACAGAAGGTCGTCAACAGCAGTCTGGTGGCCGTCGGTAGAGGCCAAAGTTTGAGCAATGCCAAAAGTGGCGAGGAGTGTAGATGTGTCCACTCGGAAGAAGTGGCGAAGGAGGATTCCTCCCTGGAAACCCTTTTGAAGCGTGAGATGAACAGATACATGCACTCCCTGCGTCACGACACGGCCAGGGAGAAGCACCAGAAGGCCTCCACCTCGGCCCAGAACATCCCAGTGAAGGTGCAGAACCTTACTGCAGTCAGTCGGCCCATCACAGCTGACGTGTCGAGTGGCGCCGCAGCCTTGACCAAGGCTGTCGGCTTCATCCCAAGCCTGTCGCGAAACGAGTACGAGAGCTTGTGTCGGAAGACCACCGTTAGCCAGCCAGCTCGGTTCCTGGCGAGGGCTCCCCTTGCCCTACCGTCCATCACTGGTAACCCCAGTGAGATGCTGCGCATCACGAGATTCAACGGCGAGGTGAAAGGGATGCAGTTAGCAAGACAACGAGAGAGGAAGAACAAGAAATGACGCAATTCCTATTGGAAAGGCATTTCATTTAATATGGACCAAAAAAATCCCTTTTTGACGGCATCGAACCTTGGTCATTTGGTTGGAAATTTGAAGCCGTTCCATGGCATTCATTTCTCTCCCAGTTTTTGAGTGATGATTCGAATGTGAGATGTCCAGGTACGTCTAGATGCACTAAGTCGGACGGCGTGAGCTTGAGTTTTTTCGACAACGAGGTAACTTTTGCCAATCACAGTGATTGGAATTCACTTTGCAAGAGTGGAGAGCCAGGGGTGACAAAGTGGAACAAAATATTTTTGCTTTTGCAAAATTTGTAGACATAATCCACGCTCCCAAGAATGGGATGTCGTCTGACGTACATGTATGTAGTCTTCAAGTAATGCATTGCAGTCAAATTTCAGTGCAGAGATGTAGCTAAAGAAGGCAGAAAGGACGTCAGGGGCACTGTTTGGGGACTTCTGAGGGCATTACTTAGTTTGTCTTGGAATACATTCCAAAGAAAAGCAAATAAGCACCCTTTAATCGAAGATGGGTACAGAACTTGTATTTTATCGTATTTGTAGTTCTTCTTTATCGTTTGCATTATTGGTCATGATAACCGTGAACTACATTTGCTTCAGAGGGTATAATTTACATCATTTTTTTAAACTATGAAAGACACAAATGTTGCTCGCTGCTGATTTGATGAAGTAATTTATAATTGTATAGAGTACCGAAGTGAATACATCACGCGCACAATTAGTGTGTAAAAGGCATTAGCGCGAGAACCAGTGCGTGAACTCCATTCGTTTGCACTGCACTTTCTGGTTCACAGTTACGTCACACTTCTGTACTCTTTACCCTAGAAAATGTTCAGTAATTTCATTGAAAACACAATGTTTATAGACATGTACGTAGGAATAATTGTCAAAAGTTTATTCCAATGCACTTGCATCAAATGAACGATTATCTCAAACGAAGAGAGAGATAAGCGATAAGAAAAATGGTTCCACGATTTCACAAGGATCAGTTTTTTTTCTCAAATACAAGCGGCGAGTTAGAGACACACTCGTTTAACACCATGTATGCAATTTGAAATAATACTGAATTGAACTGAACACAAGCTTACAGCAATACAACACTAGTCATCACTGGCCATCCAAATAAAATATTTTGTTTACACCTAGCACAAGCAGCAGTGATTGCACCGAGACTGGTCACGTTTTCAACCTACATGTACAGTCACTATCTTGTTTCAAAATACCTTTGCAGCAGATGTGAAATGATTTCGATAAAAGGTGGAGTAAAAAAAAAAAGCTCATATTGATCACAGTTCCATTGGTCACGCCATGCGCAACGCAGACGAACAAGATATATTAATTCATGGTGAACAAGACATCATTCACTTAACGGTGGAACCGGTGTTAAGCATGTTGTCCCCCTCAAAACAAATAAGTATACTTCTGCAAGAACATTCACTACTTTCTAAACCTCAGAATCATCTGTGTTTTCTTCTACCTTTATGTAGCAGAACACGTTACCTCGGCAGAATCAACACTCCAAAGCGAACAAAATAAATAAGCCTAATGCCATACAAGCTGTGTATCAGAAATCTAAACATTACGGGTGATGAAACAATTTCAAAACTACGATTTTTGAACTTATGCAAAGATGCCACCTTTCCACCATTCGTCAAATTTTCTAATTAGATGAAGAATGCTAAGCTTAACCTTACAAGTATCAACAGTTAAAAAATTATGTATTCGGGAAAAAGATGTTTTCATGCACTACAACAGTACATCAATAAACATCCCTCAAAAATTTCCTTATCAGTTGGACACCTGAAAAAGTCTAATTACTATTCAAATATTCACAATTACTCATAATAATAATAATCAAGCCACAAAGTACAACTGAGTGACTGGATAATTCAATAGATAAGATACATGTACATATACAGGAACCAAGTTCTCCTTTAAGAGTTACATGTACAGTAAGTTTCACTTCCTAATGCATCACTTAACCCAATTGGAGCCCATCTGCGATTTACTTTTAACCAATTCATGACACACATTAGGCAATCAGTTTTACACCTTTTGATTAAAGCCTGGTGACCTCTATAGTAACGCGTCTAATTTACAGTGCCGAGTACAGACACCAGACTTTTGCCACAGGTAAAAATACTTTGACTGGTGGGGTTTCTTGGTGGATATTCTTGCGATTGGTGGATTACATAGATAACTTATGAATATGCATCAGCTGCAAAAATAAAAATGGCCGACTTGAAAGGGAAATCCTGTACCGTTTCAAAGAGATTTCTGTGTGACATTTTGCAACACAAATGACAACTATTTACAAATGATACCTTTGGTAATGTAGGATTTGTTGTGCCGTACAAGTGCACACTGGAGTCACGCTGCCTCAAAACAAAACTATTTTGTTCAACACATTATACATGTAGATATTAGAGACTATTGCACTGAGTATATATATATACCTTTTATACATTGAAATATTTGTAACACAACTGAAATAACTTAATATAAATAGATAAAATAAAATTATATTAAATACATTCTTTTTCATGTGTTGGTCATGTATCTGTCACACCACACGATGTCCAATTTCCATTGCACATGGAGACACATTAATGACTTGTCCATACTGTTTTTTTATTTTGAAAGAGAAAAGAAAAATGGTATGCATATCACCTACTGGGTTCTTTCCAAGCAATTCACGTTTCATTGCTCGAGGTCCAATTTCATTTTAATCGCTTGGCAAAACCAAGCCAAGGTTCCTTGCAAGTTCAATTAAGACTGTTCACCTTCTGTGTTTTTTTGGTTTTTTTTCGAGCAGAAAACTTCATGTTTAGCTAATGCTCTAACCATTTTGTCTGCTCCAGGGAGAAAGCTGTCTGAAGCTTTCTTAAAGATGCGGAAGTCCTCGAGATTTAAGGATGATGCTAGTGTGGACAGAATGATCAAAAGGTCTTTCACCTGTGTGGTTTACTTCCCTACCTTGGATAATGCATAGCTTCAACAGACCTTTATCACAACGCTGCCATGTTTGTCTTGTTCCCTATAGACAATGCCAATGCAAGTCCACATACCGGTTAACGGAAACAGACTACTCTCCCTCCCAGCCTCAGTTTGGTTTATACATTGCTCGGAATGGTAGACAAGCAAGACGGCTGCCCCACGATAGAGGTCTAGACTGTCAGTCAACGTGTTGATATCTGTATTCCCTTCATAACATCTGATCACTACTCATAGAAATGAAAATTCTTAGAAAATGCCAAAACAGTGAAATGTCAACATAGGGATGCAGGTGAAGTTCAGAGCCAAAATTCAGTTCATTTGTTGTCAAAATTGCAAGGTAACTTGTTTTCAATTCTTCACGATTTCACGATGACGTTAGGGATGGAAAGCCTTTGTTTTTTTTAGAAAGATTCATCAACTACTTGTTGCAGATTGGTAACTTCTTAACCACTTCGTGCCGATGCATTTTTCAACGATGGGGATGCTGGGCTGCATGTCTATCATTTTTTCCGCTTTCAAAATCCTTGAACAATTCATCATTCCATTTAACAGTCATTTATAGCCGCACGGAGTAATCTTTAGGCACTACTCTAAGTTGACAAGTGACCTTCATTGACGCCCGAAAATTTCAGCCAGGCC